CTTTTGTAAAGTATTTTGCATGATATGAGCTGGCACTGTATTTGCTCGACTTAATGACGGGGGCGGTCTGCCCTGGCGACGTGATGGGACTGTATAAATGAAACAAAAGAAAAGAAAGGAAGACTAGTAAACTGTAGTGTTAACATTGCAATGTTCGTAGTGTTTGTGTCGTAACGAAGAATTGCTTATGATAAAACGTTACCATTGTAAAATATGGCGGTATCAGTGTTGATAGGTACGTTGCGTTAGTATTGTAATGCCAGTAGGTTTACCATTGTGAAGCAAAGTAGCTTTAAGTAACGCAGGAAAGTTGTATCGATAGCAGCTTTACTGTTCCAGCTGAACATAGCTACTCTGTATTCCTGTAAGGCAAGTTGTGTGGTGTAACATGGTAATTTGGTTTTTATCAACTAAGCCGAGGATGACGATTCGAAACGTGGATTCTGTCCCTTAGGCAGATACTGTAGTGCTTAAAAAAAAACGAAGTATAAAAACACCCCAACAACAAGCAATGCATCGTCCCGTACGCAGACAATTAAATGCCTGATAAAGAAACTGCAAACATTCGGTCGGACATCTGGTCACCTATCGTTCCAGAGAACAGACAATCTGGGGCTTCTTAAACTATATGGTCTTCGCCAAATGAATAGTGGAAAACTTTGGATTTTTAACAAACCAAACCCGAGCGTCCCTCTCACTCTATTAGGTGTACACTTGAAGAATACGACGTTTTTCATGCATGTATGAAGCCCGAGCGGGGGGGGAGGCTACTCCCTTATAAGGGCTTAATGGGGACGTGCGGCCAGCCAGGGTATGTTTATGGAGATTTTTGTCTCAGGGTCAGGGTATGAGGGGCCGCGCCGTACCTCCCCACCCAGGAATATATCGAGTAACCCCCGGGGTATGAAGCAACTGTGGCTTGTGAAGGAAAAAAATGAGAACTTACCGTCTGGTCGAATGTTTTGGTATGGAAGAGATTGCGATGGCGGACTTCTTACGTCTCTCGTCGGTACATTTTCGTATCCATGGACACGAGACGGAATTCTTGGTGGAAGTGTGGGAGGATCTTCCACATCCTTTGGAGGAAGATTGACGTACCCCTGGGATGTAGACTGTCTTGGAGGCAACGGTTCCGGCTCTTTCTCGGGGATATTCTCATATCCGGGGTGTTTTACCACTGTTTGTCTAGGAGGTAAAACTGGCGCACCTGTTGGGGCAGAGAGGACAATATAAATCCATAGAAATGCCCTGAACCTCGAAAAAAAAAGTAGCGAGTGAATAATTGGAGATTGGTTTCAGATTTACATTTGATTAGTTAAAACGGTGACGGGTGATTAGTCAGGAGGGATTAGTTTTGCAGACCAATCACAGAGCGAAGTGAATCGTAACCATAGTAATAACAGATTACGTATGGTACTAACTTGAAAATTGCTCTATTCGGTATTCGGTATTCTTAACGACGATAAACTACTGCAAATCACCGTTGAGCACAAACCTTTCGGATCCATTGCCTCATAACCAGCGACTGTTGCACTTCTAACACCTGCGATTTCAAAGGAACAATTGCGAAGGAGTCAATATTAAGTATCTTAAAAAAAAAAATAAGATGACAATTTCTAGCATTAACGGAGTTTCAGGAAAAAAAAATCAAACTAGTCTGATTTGTTATTTCTTATCTTTCCTCAGGATTACCTAGCCAGAGGAATATGATTCAATCTGGCTAGTATGACGTTCATTCTCACCTTCTACAAATACATCGGCGGTATTCAGTTGGGTGCAAGAGTCGGTATTTAAGAAGAACATCTCCCTCTTGGACGTTCATTCTAGGGAATATCGCTGTGAAATACAATTGAACTTTTTATAGTAGCTAACAGTCTGTCGGTTATATGTCGGTCATCTGTCGGTTATGTGTCGTTGGCCTGTCGGTCATATTTCGGTGGTCTGTCATTACGTGTCGGTGGCCTGTCGGTTATGTGTCGGTGGCTTGTCGGTAATCTGTCGGCCGACAGTTGGGCACACAGTCAGGGGAGGGGAGCTGTTCTTCATGATTTCCGAAGGGTTGATTGTATTTTTTTGATAATCAAGGCGAGAGTCAGCCTAAAAGGGACTGTTTTCGTTATCCAAAACTAGGACGAATTGAGTGAAAATCTTTATGGGTTTACGTAATGTTAATAACTTTCAACAATAAATTTTAGGATTGCCTTCACCCTGACGACCACAAAATACGATCAACGTACCTTTGGTGGGTATGTTCTCATAACAACGAGTCCCGAACAGATCGGGTGACGTTACACGACTTCTCAGGGGAGGCTTGGCTAGGAGATAATAAAATAAAAGATGGGCTCAGGAATGCCTGCTTTGATCCCGCGCGTAAAAAAACAGTAGGTGGAGCAGACTTAAAATAAAGTAAGGTACAACGCGGCAGAAGACAGTTAAAACAAAGAAAAGTTAACATAAACCATCCTTTTGGGCTTATTGTGCTACAAACACAGTTGGCTTTCTTTCTCGGCACTCGAAATAAAAGTCATTCTTGATTAAACCGAACCCTTTTTGCTATATAATAAATCCCTTATTGACCTCGCTTGTTTGGTATTATATTAGCCTCGATTTTTTTACGGGGGGAGGGGGGGGGGTTATGGACCTCGACTTCGCAAACGCGGAAAAAGAACTCGGCCAATATCCAGCCATCTTGACCTCACGTTTGGTCAATAACCCATATTGAATTTCACTTTTAAAAACTATTTGTTCCTTTTGTGTTGACGAAGGTAAACATGGGTATTGAAAGAAATATAATATTAAATATTTCTAATAGCTACTTTCTAAATGTAAACATCTTGCTCAATATTTCCATGCAAATTTGGTAGGAGGATTTGGTGCTACACAAGGAAAACAACCCCTAACTGAACAGTCTGTCTTTAACGGGGCGGTATTTTACTGCGCGGACCGCTAAATTCAAAAGTTTGTTTGAATTGAAGTGTTTCCCCTCTATTTCATCACAGAGATAAACTCTTTTGGTAAAGACATACTAAGAATGCACACTGACAGTTAGGTTACTTGTTGACCGGTAAGTTCAATGAGTGGCATGACGGCATACTGGACAACCAACTACAGGTGGATCAGTTCGAAGACTCACTCATACTTACTTGGAATGTTTTCATAGGATTGTTTCACTTGTCGTCCTCCTAGCGACGATAAAATATAATATGCATCTTAAGATGATTAATGTTTTTCGAACTTCCAAAAATGATTAGCAAATGTACACGTAGTGCACTGTTGGGGAACCAGAGGCCTCGCTCTTCCTCGAACAATCTCTTCTCGGGGAGGAGTGAATAATACCGGACTCGAGAGCATGGCGGAAATCGAACCTAGTAATAAAGCTGTACTTACTGGTTTCCATTGCCTCATTTGGGTCAATTCTCTCTTCGCAACCCGTTGGAGGAAGACGAGCTGAGACAGATATAGGATTAGTAGGTAAAGGCGCCGGGCAGGAAAAGTTACCGTTACAAAATAAGCTTATCTCCTATTAAGTAAAAATTTTATATCGTAAAGAAGTGCACCCCGTGATTGGGAACCCCCACCCCTTACCCTGGGTTTCTAGGCAACTAATCAAATTCACTGGACAGCAACGTTTGATTTGCACAATTTTACCATACTCTTTCTTTAAGATTTGTGATTGTGTTAGGTTTGGAAAGACAACAACAAAGACCAACTTTGCGGTTTTTAAATCTTCAGATTAATTGCTTTTGTTTACCAGCACACAGTTCATAAGTGGTGGTTACAGCAAGGGCGTAGCCAGGGGGGTCCTGGGGTGCCCGTGACCCCCTCTTGGTAGGCCTTCTTTTGAGCAAATAACCTACAATATTCAGGTGGTGTAAACGCCATGACAATATCTTGGCCTGCCCATTATACTCTCACTGCTCATTCCAAAACTGTAACATTAAGTAAAACATGCACGGCGTGGAGGTCGACATGACAGTCTGGTGAGTAGCCTCTGTGAACCTCCCCCCCCTTTGAAAAATCCTGGCTACGCCCCTGTACAGTATCCTTAACATTTCAATCCCAAGATCACATTAGTAATAATTCACCTCCCCGTCTGCCATACATTCATTAGGATGTTAGTTTTGGTTTACTTTCTTAATTCTCATCACTTGTCTGCTTGATTTTCTATTAATATCGTAAGGAGAATTTCGGTCTTGGTCACTCGTGGGAGTTCAAGGATTAACTGAGGAAAACTGGAGAAGTGTTACTCCAAAACAAATGCCTCCATCACAGCCTTACCTCAAAGAGGAAACCAGTAATCAGACTTGTTTTAAATGGCAAGATGCATTTTTTTCATACATTATAATATTACAATTTACTTTGTGCAATTTGAAGACAGCGTACTTACCATCCATTGGTTCATAACCTTTCATGGCATTTTCCACACTGTTAGTACTTGTATCTAGAAGTTCCAAAGGATATGTCTAAATGTCAATCCTCATAGAACACAAGCAGGTTAGTTACAATTTTACCAATGATTTTTATAATTCAGAACCAGCAGTACTTTCGGTTTTGGTATCACTTTCATTCGCTTCTTGCGAGCAGTTTTAAAATGAAATAAAATAGAGTTTGGCATTCCTGACCAGGAGACGATGGGTGAAAGGAAAGTGAAAAGCAACTTACAACAAAAAAACAAATATGCCATTAGGGCAGTTTCTTAGTCTATCACTGCTCCCTGCTTCCATGAAAATGTGTTTATTTGTAAATAAACATAAAGATGTTGAGAGTGAGAGACAGTTGTCATGAAACCCAAGTTTTATTCACTGCACAATCTTCACCGTGTGAAATTCTTACATTTTTCTCTGCACATTAATGCATAGAGCACTGCTAGGATAAGCGAAACAGCTTATATACCTTACATTCACTTAATCACAAGACTTATATATTATCTATAGTATAACAAAACTGTAATTACCACAAATCACTGGTTTCATGACGATATCTTGTTCCTGACTTTTGGTAAAGTACTTCATCAAAGTTACGAGATTTGGAAAAGGTTTATCCTATAAAAATATTCAATGAAAAGAAACTCAAAATGATAAAATCATAATGATAAATAAGAACTTAAAAGTCACCCAAGATATGTTACCTACTGCAAGTAAGAAAAAAATGCAATTCAATTCAACTTAACAGAGTTATTATATCGAGGAAAACTTAGTCTTCCCTTAGCAGTTGGCTTTAAAGAGATATCTTGGAGCATCGGGATAACATGTTAAACTTGTGCATCGATAAGAAATCTGTGCATCAAGTACATGCCCTTTGCAATTACTTTGCATTCCAGAACGAAATCGTTTTCTCCAAACTACAGATTGGATCAAGCGTCTCCATTCTCAAAATCTATCCTCAATTTTTGAAAGTCAAGACTTAAAACTCAATTATTGCAACTTTCAAGAACTGAAACCCAAGATTTGAGTTGAGACTTAAAACTTTTGAGCAGTGCTGTACACAGGACATTCAGCATTTCATCAACATTTCATGAGAAGTTTCCATTTTCTTGCCCCCCTGCCTCTCCATTGCTCTGATAGGTGGACCCCTTCTTTCCCTTCTCGACAGGAGCCAATAGCCTAGATACCCAACATGGGCTGTCCTCCCGTCGTAGTAGGAGCAGGCTGCTGATATTTAACATAGCCCTCTACTTCATGAAATAGCTCTTCATTATGATTCTATTAAAATTGGACTTTGAAAGTAACAAGACTACTCTAAACTCGCCTCATGTCCTTTAATAACCAGGTTTCCATCAAACAATGTTTCAATTTTGTGGTGACGGAATTTATCTCTGTGCCTATTAAAAAAATTAGCAGAACAAGTTTTTTGCATGGTGTACATCTGCTAATTTTCCATGAATAGGAAAAAAGCATTCAATTTGATTTTTTATTATAAGCTTAACGGCAGCAGATGATGCAGTAACATTACTTGTTCAGGAGCAAAGTTATCAATTTCTAAAGCAACAGTTGTGTTGCATTTATGGGCATGTAAAACTCAATCAACTGTGGTTTATAAAGGTAAAAACACTGTGACAAATTCTGAAAAGCTAAAATGTCTAACTTTTGCTTAGTCCAGTTTATGAAGCTATAGCTAAGCGCTTATTTCAGCATTTCAAGCAATTAAGTTAAATGACTTTAAGCTAACATAAAAGCAACTTACTTCAATGAGAGGGTGTAAGCGCCTAGCTTACGAACTGTTTCACTTTCTCTTACTAAAAAGCTCCCTTCAGAATGGGGTTGGAGGACTGTTTCAGCATTTTCCCTTGTGAGCTTACCAAAAAACCAGCTGTGGAAGTAATGGTAGAATCCCTAAACTACTTAAAATAATATGTCAACACAGCTGGCATGAGCACTATAATTCTTAGAATCAAAGAAGTCAGTTGTCAATGAGTACCAGAGAGCACCCCTGGCCCATGAAAATGTGACAAAGTACCACCTCTCTGAAACACTCCTAAAGTTTACGAGCCATAACCTTTTATGGTAGGAGAATGCCCATACAATTTTGCAAGGTTGGGAAATTTATCACTGGGATGATAAGGCTACCAATTGGGATGATGAGGCGATGGTGTGGGGTAAAGAGTATTGGCTGTAAAAATGTGTGAAATATACTGGTATCTGGGACATAAAACTTGGTATACCTGCACATTGAATATTTACTTACGGAGGTTTGCTATCTGGAAAATCATCATAGAGTGCTTCTGGGGTGGCCTCAGCTCCTAGTGAGTCAGGTCTAGGTTGCTCCTGGTCAGAAAAAACATACAATTCACAAATACCCTAACATCAGTACACATATTCTCCATACTGTTCTCTATACATTTCCTTTGATGCTCACAAGGAGAATTTGTTTACCAATCAAGAGCTTCTTTAGTTGGTGATCATTTCAGTCTGCAATTTTCATGACCTTAATGTAGATGCTAGCGAATAGGAGTCAAATTAAGGGTTAATAAAAATTAATTACATCTTAAATTAACTTTGAGTGTACTCAAATGTCAATTTTCCCACATGTCTACACAACCTAGACTAGAAATGTTTCTACTTTTAAAAGGTGTACACTTACAGAAAGGTTATTAGAACTGGATGTCATTCTTAATTGGAATAGTCCAAAAAAATTACTCTGACAAGTTTGTTTACATTAAGTTGCATAGCTAAAAATGCGAGGGCTTCTTCCAGCTGAGAGTAGGATTGAGTAAATGCTTCCTAGTGGCAGATGTTCAACTCAGTGTGGCTTCATGTCAGCATAATGACCAAGCTGGCCCACAAAACTGAAAAAATTTGCCTTCTTTTCCAATGAGAAATCTATCCATGCTAATTAGAAGACAAATGAGATTTTAGCTCAGTTACTCTTAATTTGAGAAATTTCAGCTCCTTTGCCAAATATAAAGAAGGCATGATCAAGCTGGCTTTCAAGATTTATCTTCAGTTGGTAACCATGATAAAAGCTTTGGATTGGATAATCTAGAACACTCTTACCCTGAAGATCTTGGTTTCAAATTCCAAGGTCCCAGTATCAGAGCCACCCATCATCTCATATGGACACAATGTAATTTTTACCATGAAAAGAGTAGCAGGGAGACATCTCAGAAACCGGACTAACCTGGTTTTCTGGACTGACATGAAGAGACCCTTAATTTTTCCACTGATTTTTGCAAACCTTGGATTCCCTTACCTCTGAGTCGTCACCATTATCTTTCAGCTTCTCTTTAATTCCCAGCAGTTTTTTGCAATGGCTGCTGAATGAATGGTGCTTTCCTTTTCCCAAAATTGTCTTCTGCATTTCTTCCTCACCTTTCACTCCAGGACTGATGTTAAACTCATCTGGACTAATGTTAAAAATTGGTACTACAACAATATGAAAAAGAACACTAAATATTATTCAAAATCTGTACCTTTGAGCATTTGGCCACACAGCATACGCCCTGGCCCACCCACATGTTAATTGTTCAAAACACAATCAGCATTAATTCAGATTTACCTGCCACGACACTATAGAGTTTTTTAATGCATTTTATCCCCTTGACCCCCTGAAATGACCATCTAGTGACTTCTCATAATACACAAGTTCATCAGCAAGAGGGTGTTATGTTGTTGTTACATCAGAGTCCATTGTCTTGTTTACAAGGAATTGCATGGCAGTCAGTAGGGGGGGAATAATTATTATATGGCTGTGTCTCACAAGGACTGGGAACTACCGAATTCACAAATTTGATTCGCTGAAATCAATATTGAAAGCGGTCTAGATTTTCCCATCTAGACTGGCATCTAGACCGGTCTAGAAAAAAAAAGGTACAAAGAATATAAAAAATTGGCATATTATAAGACACAGCCATACAATAAACATCTTATCAACTGAGCTAGGTCAGTCTGTATGGGAGAATCTTGACCTTGGTCACTGGTACAGACCACACTGCATTTGGTCTGTACTGGCGACCTCAGTCAAGATATTCCCATACAGACCTCCCGCTCGGTTAATAAGAACTAAATATTAATTGGATCTTGGGACTAAACAGGGTTATCGAAACCTCAGTTTAGTGTTGAATCAGGTTCTAATAACCTGAAATTTATGTGCCACAAAGCTTAAACAACAATATCATTGTCATTTATTTAACTTCCTAATGCTGACCTGACCAGAGTTTGAAATAATGGGCCACTAGATCTCTAACTGCTTGATTCAAAGGGAAACATTTCATTTTTAAGTGTCTTAGGTTGGCAAAAAAGCCAAAATTGACTCACAACGATTTCTCTTCCTTTGCATGTACCTTAAAAAATCTAGCTACATTCCTAAGTAAATGCAAAAAAAAAAAAAGTTACCTTCAGTGTACTGGTTAGAGATTTTCCTTTTGAGAGGTTCGTTGTTGTTGGTAGGGGATTTTCCACATTCAGACTCAAAATTTGTTGAATTTGCGGGAAGCTTTCCCTAAAGAAAAAAACAAGTTCCAATACATGGGTATAAAAGTGACTTAAAAATATTTTATGGGTTAAAAGTGGTAACTCAAAATGGCCTACACACAGAAAACTGTGAGAATTCTGCCGCCTCTGTTTAAATTCTACTTCTTAAAGATTCAAGATTCAACACAGCTGTCCTTTGAAATGAGAAGCTCCCAGTGAATGTTTGAATAAAAAAACAAAATAACAATATTCCACAAAATGTAATAAAGACTATGAAATTGGCCTTCAGGAATTGCCCAGTCTGAAGTATTCTTTTAACTCTTTACACTGAAACATCAGTATGCTTTTTCTCTACACTATTCTGTTTCCTATTCTCGTGACTGCCTGAATGTGTGATTCAGGGGTGATATTGTAAGTAGAGATTAGATGCTTGTCCCTTTTAGAGTGAGGGGTTAAAATGTTTTAATCACTCAGCAATTACCTGTGAAGCAAGTCCTATTGAGTGCACCCACTGAAGACGAAGAAGTTCAGAATTTGTCTAAAAATAAACACAGAGGAGAAGTGAGCAATATATTTCACTGCTACTATATACACTTTTCAGCTGTGGTTACAAAGACATTCATTTACTGTAAGCATAACCTGGGCATACGCTGCACTCACTAATAAGCAGCATCTCAAGTTTGGCAACTCAAATTTTAGATTAAAAAAAAGGTTTTTTAAAAAGAAATCAAAGAAAGACACATGTGGTATCTTGGCCACAGTTTGCCACACCCCTGATTCCTTGTGAAAATTCAGGGTAAAAAGTACTTGCAGTTTGTATGCCAGTGTTTACAATACCTATAACAGTTACAAAGGAAAATGCTGACTTAAGAGTACTCTGTTAACTATCATGATTTAAACCAGTGATTCAAGTAGAAAAAAAAGTTAAAACTTTGGCTGACATTGGAAGTGCTTGAAAGACTTCCACTGAAACTTAGAACTGATGTTAGTGATGAATAAAAATTTGTAACATCATTCTATACGTTAATCACAATTATAATAAAGCACCATTCAGCTAAAAAAACATGTACATTTTGTACCTACCCTAAATAAGTATTTCTTGCGGTTTACTTTGAGTTCAAATTCAAACTTGTCTTTGCTGGTTTTACCACTAGAAAAGCTAGAGTTTGCATTTATGCCAATTTGACATTTAATCTGTGAAAGGGAGAGTTAATTAATAAAATGTATTCGTGACTGTTATGATTTAAACATGGTAAGTTTTTTTAATAACACAGGTTGATGATCAGAAATGTATATTCCTACCACAATTGAACCCTTACTGTAATTAATAATGGTGGGTCCTTGTATTGCCCAGAACTGGAATTAACTGCAGTCAAATTGCTGCATGCTATCACCATTTTGGTCAGCATAATGAGGGGCACAAATTTTTTGTGACAAAATATGTAGCAAAAGTTGCTCAATAGAGGCCTGTGTTTGGCTGCCATGTAGCAAACTGTCTTTGTCAATTAGGCACTGTTGATCATGTTTTGACCCCTCAAATCTAAGATCTGATAATTAATTCTCCCCTCTAGCTGTGAAACTCACTCTGGAAGTTGCAGATTGAGTTTTTTCTGCTTGGATTGGTGGCCCAACCACAAAGCACACTGGCCAAAAATCTAAGCAGAAAAAAACTTGGTCCATAACTAACAGTACAGGCTTAGAAAATGAGGTTCACTAGGTACTTATCACATCTTTGGGTTCATATGGAAGGGGAAGATTTTAATTCAAAGAAACCTTTGAATTTAACGGGACGCACAGAAATTGAGACGGTATAATTTACCAATCATAGGCACACACTAACTAACCCTTTAACTCCCATGAGAGACCAAGACAGAATTTCTCCTTACAACCTCAATGCAATATCCAGCAGACAAGTGATGAGAATAAAGAAAATAAGTATCAGTTTCAGAGCTAAGCAAAGAGTTTCCAGCAATCTGATTGGTCGAGCAGTTCCTTACATGACACTATTTAAACCGCTTCACACGATTTATATAAAATGTTAAAATAAAATGTTAATAAATGTTACTAAAATGTTATGATTTTAGAAATTTCTCTGTTGTTTAGCTCTGAAATTATACTAAAACAATTATTTGTCTCAGGTTCGGTAAATATTGTCGAATAATCCCCTGGACTTCATCTCGGGATTATTCAACGATATTCACCTCGCCATCAGCGAATAATTATATAAATTAGGGGATCATCAGTTGATCCAAGACTAATAATTCTCTAACATCGTAAGAATTGTACGGGAAACAATGAGGAGAAGAGAGTGAAAGGGCTAGGAGACATACTAATGAACCATACTTACGTTTTCTTTTAAACTAATATCTGTCTTTTCATCCTTGACCAAAAGCAACTCAAATCCATGTAACACAGCCCAGTAATTTAACCACTACAAAAATAATACAAAAACATTTCTGATATGTACATGCAGTTTCAAATATTATACAAAGCATACAAAAATCTGATCTGTTTAGAGTTAAATATTGCATGTATTACATAATTCACTTGGTTTAGGGGAAAAACTGACCTTCAGGAGCTGTATTTCATTCTGAGTATCTTACAAAAATTATCCCATCATTCTTGATGTTAACTTTGCATTAAAATCCTTTTTATTGACGCCATCTTTGCCTGCACTTGCTCCTTCAGGCCCTCTTGGTTTACAAAACTTAAAATTTGTTGCTGCTTTCAAGTTGAGCATAATTTTTTTGTACCGTAACCTGTTATTATCAATCTTCAGCTGAACAAATCTCTTCCTTAAGATCCCCTGTGCTGGCAATTACACATGTTGTCATGTTGGCTTACAGATAAATCACATTTTAAGCTGCTCACTGACAGTTAACTAAATTAATCAAAAGGTTCGTTGAAGAGATCAGAGAAAACATTTTCAAATTGTTTTCAAACACACGACATTTTGTACAAAATACATGACAATCTAGATAGCACCACACAAAAAACCGTTTTTATATTATGGCCAATGTAAAATTGTCATTTTCTAAGTGCAATATTTGCTTTTGTTTTGGTGCACTTTAATAAACCAAAATCCTTTCACATGATTAAAATAAGCTTCATTTAATACCTCAAGAAGTAAACATAATTAGATGGAAGCTTGTTGAAAAATGCTTTACAAGGCTTCATTAACTTAACTGCCATTTTAGTCAGATGTCCTTGCACACTTGATTATTAAAGTATGAAACTGAAGGTTAGTTGAACAAACAATGCTGCATGACATTTTCCATAACATACATCTCAACACTTCGATAAAATTTATGCTTTACTAAGTGAAAACAATCACAATAATTGAAAATATACTGTCTAGTGAAGGGACTAAAGGGCACTTTATTTAACAAACCCCCATCAATTAAAAGAAGCAAATGAGTTGTTAAGCCTTAACACATTGAGATGTTAATTAAACATATCAACTCTAAGAATGGAAAACGGTTACCTTTTTTTTTTACCGAGAATTATCAATTCTTACTGCAGTGAAGCTGTGAGTTGGTCACTGTTTTTCTCTTTTTAAACAAAGGAATTATGACAAGGAGATCTAACAAGGGAACTCTACTTGCGAAATAGATACCAGCTAATCTATTCTCCAACAGACACTAATTAATTTTTCTGTTATCTTTCCTAGATTCAGACAACCAGATAGTAAGTGATAATCAAATTCCTTCCGATTGCCCTCACTTTTTTTCCTGTATTTAGGTGACAAATACAATTTGCCCTCTATCTTCCCGAATCAACAAGCACCTTCTGCATTTTTTGGAAAATTATCGCATTTTTCGACGAAAACAATTCTTGAATATTTTCTTTAAACTTTTAAAGATATTTGTGTTTGTGACCCTTGTATCCAGCTATCTGAGGTCGAAATTAAAGTATCGGTTTTCCGTATTGTTTTCCACATCTTTTAATAAACATTAAAATAATTTCAAGAGTTTGTTTTTCAAAGTTCAAGTCTACGTTCACTTTCCTTCAATGATGATTTCCTTTTACATTCACAGCTATAATTCCTTAACCAAACATCGTTATGAGCGAGTGGAATAGGAAAAGTTTATCTTGAATTTCTGTGCACGAGTAAGGAACCAGCTGAATGCAAGATAAGGAACTTCGTTCAGCTAACAACCACAGAGCGGAATTCCAGGACGGATTGTTTTTTTAAAGCTCAAGTAAGCATCGCATTTTATGGTTCGAATCCTTCGCATACCATTTTGGTCAAAAGTGCACACTCTGCTTATTTAAGGACTCCTTTAATTCTGCCTAGGTTTACTTTTGTTTCTTGTGCCAGCGGCTTAAAATGTTTGAAGTTAAACTTATTTCAATTGTTTGTCAATTCTCGACAAAACTGTACGCGACAAATTTATCTGAATAATCTCACGTGTACGTGAGATGAATTTAAATAGTTAATTTAGAATTTTCAAGTGATCGCGAAAAGTAGAGACCTTTCATAAGTAAAACTAAAAATATGCGACGGTTAAACCGTCATGACTTTCCATCGAAGTTCCGCCGTTTGGCAGACAAGAAAAACAAGAAAAACATCACATCTGAAACTTCCGATCGTCAGATTTACCACAAAGTGCTCCGCAATTCAATCCGGAAATGAAAAGGCACAACAGCAAAATAAAGCAAAAGAACAGCTGAAAGTCCGCCGAAACAAAAGAAGTGAGTTTTGTACACAACTTATTAAAAATGGTGATCATAAGATTCTCAACCAACTGATTTTTCGCCACCTAATCGAAGTATTACACCAGTGATTCATCTACAAGGCACGATTGAGTGCGGCTTCCAAGCGCGTTTCAAAGTCATCGTGGAATTTGCGCATTCTGCAGATCACGGATCTAAAACACAATGGTTTTCTACAATTATCACTTCTGCGCGTAAACTGAATTCAGAGCCTAAGCAAATTCCCGATCAGCAAACTACACCACAGAAATTAAATTAAGTCTAAAGGAGTTTGGCCTTGACAAGCCCGATCTAATCAGAAATGAACTCTGATCACTGAGTCGTTCCGACCGCCGGCATGCCTCACGCTCTCCAAAAAGCAGTATTCATGGTAAATCACCTGTAGCTACCTGTTGATGTCCTTCGAATTCAGTCAATAACTTCAAACTTGGTTTGAAACGTTCACAACAGTGTTTACCCAACACTTCTTCACCGTGATATGAAGCAACTTTATATTCACACCCCGCTCTCCAAGACCACTATCAATCACTGAAATCCTAACAACAGCCCAGTCTCCTCTCCGACACCAGGATGTAAACTGCGGGGGAGGGGTTATGTCGTAGTTTTAGTCAATGTCCGCTTCATCTGAGACAGAACCTTCATAACTAATTACCAAAAATGACACAAAACGTAAACACAATACTAACACTATGCATCTATTTACGATGGAATTATCCACCATTTCAAATCCAGTTGCTCCTCCGCCAGACAAAGCCCCTATTTCCAGTATAGAGAAAAACAACTTCTTGTCACGCTTCAACTGAGTAGATTTCACCAGACATAACTAAACACCCGATTTGTGATTAGGTGTCGCTGAAACATTTGCTTGAAAGGTCTGAAACACACCTTCGTTCGAATTTTCAAGTTATATGTCGTTAGTTTCAGGATATCGTGAACAACAAATAGACATTTCTCGAATCGTTCACGGGCTTTCGCGCGGCGTAATCTGAAACTCTTGGGAAGGCATTCGTTAATCGTCCAAAAGTATGTGATCGTGACTTTTCAACAGTTAGAGCTAAATAAAACATTCTCCGTTACAATGAAACAAAAAAATTATTCTGAACCAGCTACCCCTCGAAATCGGCCTGAGTTTTCAAAACTTTTGATAATTATACGTGTTAGAATGTATCGCTTATCTCCAGACCGCATGACCAATTTGATTTAGGAGTGTGCTTTCGGACTGTTTCTCGCAATTGTGATAATGATCAATAATATGACATATCATTCTTTCGTCGAAATAAACAAACTCCACAACAGTGATTCACAAGTCGATCAATCGCCAGCCGAATGTCCATGATTAGAAACGCTTTCGAACAAAATTGTACAACGTTTTAGTCTAGCTATTCATAGCTATTAATTGATGTTTTTTTTCTTCTCAGCAAGCGCTATATTATGGAGACCACAGCTTGCGAGACAACAAAAGCACTGTAAAATTGTAAAACATCAACACAACAAGAGCTATTATTTACCTTGGATGATTCCTTGAAGTCTAGATAGCCCTCCATGTATTTAACTCCTCTCTGTCTTTCTGTCGTACCCATAAGTTACATTTATTCAATGACTCCTTTGGAGTCGCTCTCACCGTGACCAAATTCCTTCGCGTCTCGACTCTTGAGCGCTTCGTTACAGTTTTTGGATGGTATCAATTCGCCGCAGTCTGTTATATGTAGACTACCTATTAACCATGTGATTTCACACCAACATATACTAAAATACAGTCTATTGGTAACAACTTTAAAATGCCTCTGCTCCCTAAGTGCCAAAGGGAAAATAACATTCGTCATAACAGGAAGTCTAAAGGCAAATATTAGGGTAGTAGAGAGGGTTAGCTTATCGATTGTATCCTCAACCCTGTCACTGAATTGAGAATTTTCAGTTTTGCAAATAATCTGATGTCGAGAAATATTTAATGAATAATATTGTTATACAACTCCGTCATGTCTAACAACTAAAAACTTGACAAAATGGAATGAAAATGGTAAAAAGGTAGAAAATTTAGGCTATTTACTCTCTCTACCCCTGTTTCCTGTGACTGGTCTTTTTTCAAGTGGTTCTTAGGCCAATGCACTTTCAATAAAAAAAATTTTGTCTGCGAATGAACTGCCTGCACTGCCTGTTAAGAGAGGGTGTCATATACGATCCTTTTCTCTACGTTCAATATAATTCTCTCATCTGAAAGAACGGAGACTGCAAGTATATTGTTTGAGTTTATTGGAGATAAAGTAGAGTTTCGATTTTTGCTTTTTGGACCGTTCGATAGGATTGAACGGTGCTTAAGTCCATTTTCAAGTATCTTACCATGTTTTATTTTTGCAGAACATCATTAACCCGTGCCCTTCCCTCGGACCTCCTCCCCTTCTCTTCGGTCTTAAATTACCTCCAATTTTATTTTTAAAGTTATCCTCATTTTTTTTATTTTTCAATCCTTCGACTTAATGCTTGAGGTAAAACTAGTCACCTTTTCGAGTTTAATCAGTCGATATTCAATACAAAAACTATTTTGGCGCACGTTCCGCTTTTTAATCAATCTCCAACGGAAAAAAAAAAAAAAGGAAAAGAAAACTATTTTCGACCTGAAAAGTATCATAAACTGATGAATTTTTTAATTAAAAATTTCGCCATAACTGAACTAAAGATAAGTAACAGAAGGACAAAACTGGTAAATGAAAAAAATTCAGGAGACCCTGTATATGTAACTGTACCCTTGGTAAGATGATGGTGAAAATCACCGTCGGGGATCTGGGACTGACAAGCCTCGTCCTGTCATCAAGTCCAGCGGACAAACTTCGTCGGAAAACTGCCCTTCTCTCCCCAATTCAGCCGAGAGCAGAGCTGCTGTTGTTTTTGCCGTTCTTATCGGTTCTAAGGTAATCGAAATTTGCAGTGACTTTGTATATCGTAAGTATCCTGCTTAGTTATTGCAAAATTCGAAGCGAAAGGATATAATGCAAGTACTAACTGTGTAGCTATGATATTATGATTAGCTCGCACTTCCTTCCGGCTTCTGTATACAGTGATAAACAGCTGCCTTCAGAAAGAACATGAACTGTGATTATTAATGAAACTGGTGTCATGATTTAGCTAGTACTTCTTGCAATCCTCGAAACCTACATTTTGAAACAAGCGTACTGAATTATTATGGTAATGTCTATTTGTCAGCTACATGAGTATTTAAAAATATCACAAAGTGCAAGTAACTCTGGCGAAACTCCAGCTTTTCCTGGACCCAATGAAGTGACTTGTCCCCGGGAGTTAGAAGAAATTTTTTCACAGTAAAAAGAAGAAATGGCTGGTTTTTTTTTTTTCTTTTCAGTGATAGCTGAGAAACGCTCAGTTATTTTAATCTTGTTGTTGAGAGATGATTGACGATGTTTGTAGATTAACTTACCTTTTCAGATAATTAAAACATTACTCCATGTCGTTTCTCTTAACCTCTAACAAGAAATTAAATGAACCAATGTCTGAGTGTCCAGAGATTTGGCCACTTATTCAGTGAGACAATGGGAGACTGTTGGTCGCATGCTGGTGGATGATCACCTGTCAATTCCACTCCCTTCTCAGCCTGCTATCAGTCAATTATTGGCTGACTAACCTTTTTACTGTAATGATCTTAGTGTCAACAGAGGCTATCCATCCTGCATGTGATCCAAATAGTCAGTAGTCTATGAGTTTTTTGTATATTAATGAAACATCTCATGGATGAAGATCTGTTTACAGGGAGTGTTTCCAAGAGATTCAAGTCTCCCTCAAAGTGGACATTCGATCAAAATGGAGGATAAAACTGAGGTTGAAATTGATGACTCTCTTTACAGGTAAGATAAGAGAATTGGGTATGACTGTGCTTGTCAGGAAAAGTATTGGTTATTTGACTGAAAGTTTTGGGTGTACACTGACTGAAGAACAACTTGTGTGTGAATATTGGAAAGATAAAAAGGTTTTATTTTGATCTAATGAGAAATAATACAGTATAGGAGACCACATGGCTCAGTGTTGCTGAACCCCACATCAAGAAGTTTGGATGTAAGTCATGTTTGAATCATTGTGTTGGGTTCTTGGACAAGATACTAGACTCTTGTAATAATTGAATAAAGGCTGATAGTTTCGAAAGAAACTGTTTGGGGCTGCGTCGGTGGGAGTAACGAAATAATTTGGATATATCAACAAAGTTGAAATGGTAAATTGGCCACCGTAATGATTACAAAAGCTGACGTTTCGAGCGTTAGCCCTATTCGCTCCGACGAAGGGCTAACGCTCGAAACGTCAGCTTTTGTAATCATTACGGTGGCCAATTTACCATTTCAACTTTGTTGTTATATCCAAATTATCTTGTAATAATTGCTCTCCATTTAAGAGTATCATTGTGTACCAGGAAACCTTTGGGTAAATGAATCCTTTAACTCCCAAGATCTGATAGTCAATTCTCCCCTCTAGCTGCCACATATTTCCTTGTAAATCAGTAATGAAAATTTGGTGTTCAATCAAGACGACAACCTCTACCTGATATTTTAAGTATTCTCATCACCTGTTTGCTGGATAATGTATGGATATTATTGGAAGAAGTTACATGTTAATCACTTCTGGGAGTTAAAGGGTTAAATGAATTTTTTTGGGGGTACTTATTAATAAAAAAAACTTAATACAATTTATTACAATTTAATGGCATAGTATAAACAAACAAACAAATGTCACAAAATAAAATTATTACAGAATAATAATAATATGGGGAAGCCATGAAGATAATCTGTAAAAGAGTAATGAAACTCCATACACGACAGATCACCTAATGTAATTATAATCTAGATATTGAAAAGCATGCATATCAATAAAATACATTAAGATGAACATTCAGTTCCCATGTAATAATGTGGGGAAGCCATGAGAATAATCTGTAAAAGAGTACTGTAATAAAACTCCACACAAGACAGATCACCTAATGTAATTATAAGACTAGATATTCAAAAACATGCATATCAGTAAAATACATTAAAATGAACATTCAGTTCCCTACCCCAACCCCCACTACCATTATTTGAATGAGAAATTTTTTTCATATTAAACTTGAAGACTTCTAGGCTGGGTGCTAATCTGATCTCCAATGATAAGAACTTCCACATTTCAACAATTCTGTGAAAATATTATAACTATTAAATTTAATAGTCCTGGCAAAGTTCAAAATGGATGCAAGACCTGGCTGGGACAATGTGTAGTGTTCAATAGGCATAGCACTTTACTCTTATAGTGCCTCTCTCTGCCCAGGGGTTTCAATGGGTATGGGCACACTGTTAGGGAAGCAGGATGAAATGCAGGGGGGTTACTTTATGATCCTCCAGGGAGGAGTAGTAAATAAATACTACTAGTTGTTTCATGTTTAAGAAACCAGACAAGTATTCTGGCTGGATGGGCCACTTGACTTGAGTACTGAGACTTTACCTACCTATTAGTATAATGGATTAGCATCCAATCTGGATGGAGTTTGTAACAATAATCCTAGATGCTTAATGGTAATGAAAGGTTTAAGTAAATGTAATAATTATAAATTATGAAAATTGTCTGTCTGATTGTTATTAGTCCTGGTTTTATAAATTGCCTGCGTAGGAAAGGTTATTTCTCACACTTTTTTTCTGGAATTAGACGTAAAACTATCTAGTAAGTTATTTGATGTATGCCTCATTAGAAATTTTAATATTTGATTTCTGGTTGACTTGATCATGAATGTTTTTTTTTTTTACAGTCGTCAGCGATACATGCTTGGTGATGGAGCAATGATCAAAATGGCCCAGTCAAATGTGCTTTTGAGTGGTCTTGGAGGATTAGGGATAGAAATAGGTAGGACTTACAGTATCAGACATTTTTAAAAATTGGTACAGTCTATGAAACAGTTTTAGCAGACACAAACTTGAAGTGCAGTGCTCTTATCTATAAGAAAATAAGACAATGCATAGAGAAAATTGTAGTTATTTTTTGATGGCTTGGTCTAACACTTTCATAGAAGATTTTATACAAATTTAATATTTAAAGGGATCCTTTCAGTTTTTATTGCAGAATTTATCTCAAAACAAGTTTGAGTCACTTTTTGTCTGTTTCAATAAAAACACACCAAGGTGCTATAAATAGCAGCCTATTAACCTCCAACCTTGTAGCTTGATAAACGCTAGCAGTATAGCAGTCTAAATGGCACCATCAATACACAGTTGATTAGCCTGACTCTTATATTTTAAGAGAAATGATTTAATGTTCATTTTATCATGTTGAACAGCAATTTTATAACAATAATTTTTTTGTTCATCTGTAATACTTACAGGTTTGATTTTATTGTATAGTTCTATTACATAATTTGCACACCTTTGCAATTCAGCTTCCAGCTGCTATTAAGGTATTCTTCTTAATAAACGTCTATCTATCTATCTATCTATCTATCTATCTAATATCTATTTATCTGTTTTGCATTTTTTTTTCAGCTAAAAGTGTTGTCCTTGCTGGAATTAAGGTAAAATGTTGATTTAAGGTAATAGAAAAGAGTAAAATGAATTGAAAGATGCCACTGATATCTAGAACATGTCTCTAAGGGTTTTTTTTTTTTTAGTCTTTTAAGAAAAGGCAAAGAATAAGTCTTGGTAAAATTTCTTTTAGAAATATCAAGTCAAAAAAGATGTTATACTTGTCACTGAAACCTAGCAGTTTTACTAGTTTTTACAGTTTTAAACCTAGCAGTTTTACTGCTAGGTTTCAGTGACAAGTAAAATTTATTTACCATTGGTGTAGAGAGCTATTTTATGATACTTCATAATACACGATATATGCATTGCAGTTCAAATTTTCTTTACTAGACTGTTTAAACATTTTCAGATTAGCAGAACTTGTTAGATGTTTTCCTTTTCCCATGGAGTACACTGGAACATGAATGAAATTGTCCAAAAATCATGTACTTGTAAAAATTATGCTATTTAGAACTTGCCAAATAAATTATTTTCAAGTTATACTCACTGTGGAATACTACATGTTTTTTAGTCTATCACCTTACATGACACCAAGCTAGCCACTTATCATGATCTGGCAAGCCAATTTTTTTTGAGAGAAGAGGATATCAAGGAGAAGAAAAACAGGTATCTTTGATTGAATGAGTTGTTGAAAGGTAAGGGTAAAAGAGATTTGAACATGTTCCAATGGCTACCCCTAGGAAAATGTCATTTAAAAAATGAACTTTTGTTTCTCATTAGTATTTTACTACTTGCTTAAGATATTTACTGTCTTTAATGGTGCTAGATCTCTGTATCTGGAGAGCATGGAAAAGTCGCGAAAAAATTTTATAAATAGTCCTTTAATCATGGTTTCTTGCCCCATGTGAGGCCATTTACTAAATTTCTCTAAACTGTCTGGGTCACTTGTAAGATTAAAATGATCACTGCACTTGGTGTGTCTCCTCTCCTTCAAACTGGAATTAATACCAAACCTATTGAACCTAAAAATTTGCATTGAAACTAACCTCAAAGTGTTTCAGATTCGTACTGACTCTCCAAGTTCCATTTTTCCTACGGCTACATTTAATTATTGTGAAGCTACTGAACTTATTTTTTTGTTTCCAGAGCAGAGGCCAGTGCCCCGAGGTTAGCTGAGCTGAACCCCTATGTGAATATTCAGACGTCTACTTCAGCAATTAGTGATGGCGACTTTGCATTCTTAGCTCACTTTCAGGTATTACTGGTACATAACATTTTTAACTGTATGTTTACTTAATATTGGTTTGTCCAAAACTTTAAATGCTGGTAGTGTTCTAAATCCCTGGGGTGATTTCAGATTAAGAACATATAACTTTTATTGAACACTTGTTCGCAGGGCTCCAAGCTCAGCTTTTGGCGACCTAAAGTACTATCATGATATAGAATGGTTGCTAGAGGTAAAATTTTAGTTGCCTGAAAAATACCTCAATTTGACTTTAGACTGTAATGCACTGATCAATTTGAAGCTTCAAAATCCCCCTCCCTCCCTCCCCTCCTGTTTTGAATTTATTTTGTTTAAATGTTATGTAATGATCTTCCTTTACAAAACCACTGATTTGACACTTGTTACCTATTAGCAGATCACATTTAATTTAGATAATTACTGACTAAAGATGATAATGTGAAGTCCAAGTCAGACTAATTTTGCAAAAAGAATGTTTTAACTTTTTAATTTAATTTTTAATTCCAAGACTGGTCTGGATTTTCTTTCTCTTCTTTTAGTGCGTGATTCTCACAGAGGCTCCACTTAGTCTTCAACTCGGAATAGACAAATTCTGCCGCTCACAGAAGCCACCCATTAAGGTATTAACTTTTTGACCTTTGAGAGATGACCAGGTGACAAGAATGAAGGAAATGATTGCCAACTAAAGCACTTGATTGTTGAACAAACTCTCCTTGTCAGCACATTGGGAAATGTATAGAGAACAGTATGGAGAATATGCGTACTGATGTTAGGGTGTGAAGGGTTGAGAATGTCAAATGTGTCTGGTTTAATTCAACATTTTGATCATGAACTAACTGGCAATCCAATCTTCAGTGTTACACATACTGTGGCAATGCATTGCATCATTTCAACTGCTTTGGACATGGATGAGGCAATTTGAATGGAGCTTTGTTTAAATTTTATCTTTTGGTTGCAAACATTGCAACCGATTACTCACCTTTTGGTATAGTTAGTTTGTCTGTAGAAATACACCATATTTAGTCATGCATTTCTTTTCAGTTTATTGGTGCTGGTGTGCAGGGGGTGTTTAGCTGGGCATTCTGTGACTTTGGACCTGACTTTGAGGTTGTGGATTCCACAGGAGAAGAACCAAAAGAATTTTTCATTTGGAAAATTACTAAGGTGTGTGAAGGCCAACATAAGACATTTATGGAAAAAGATGTTTTTTTTGTCTTGTCTTGAGTGTGGGACAACAAAAATAATTCTCCAAGTTCCCCCTTCCCCTCCCCCTCCCCCTCCCTCTCCCCATGAGGAAGCCAACCTCAGGCCTTTGGGTTCCTCCCCCTGATGATCAAACATCAGGTGATACTCTAAAGAGAGCTGGGCCATTGACAGGTTCTTACAAAAACTCATTTACCATTTATATCAATTTGGAAGGTAAATTAAAGTTAATTTTTGATTGGTTCAATCATGTTTTTGAAAAAGCATATTCAATTTTGTTGCAGGCAAATCCTGGTGTGGTGACAACATTAGATAATCGTATGCATGGATTACAAACTGGTGACAAAGTCTCATTCAAGGAAATAGTTGGAATGGCAGTTCTCAACGGCTCAGAACATACAGTCAAAGGTAACCAGAAATCAATTTATTAAAAGACTATTTCAACTTGTATTTGTGAGCTTATTCTACATGAAGTAGACAAACTGGTGAAAGTCCCTGACACCTGCATGTACATGAACACTAAAAAAAGTTTTACCAATTGAAATGAATCAAATGTATGGTATTTGTGGTAGAATACCACACTATTTACACAATGATCAATTGTTGTTGTTTTTTTTTATTTTTAGTGCTGTCTCCATATGCATTCAGCATCTGTGACACTACTGGACCTGAATACGAAGATTATCAGTATGGTGGAATTGGAAGACAAGTCAAAACCTCCTCTACTTTCATGAAATTTGTAAGAAATCATAATTGAAACCTTAAGTTTTAAATTTGTATTTGTTGATATCACATACATTTAATTTTCTTTATAAATAAATCTGACCAGTTATTGATGATTCTGACATTTCCTTCTGGGGTACCTTTGTGTTGTTACAACTTTGTGCTGATTGCTGATACTTGAATATTCAATATATATTTGATATTGTAATTAGACATGTAAATAAACATGTGGTGTAGGAGTTCCTGAATTTCATTTTGTTTATTTTCTCAACTTTCCTAATTTAACTTGTATTATGAACTCATAATCCTGTGCTGCACACAAATTTTTCAAATACCAACTTGTTTGTGAAGTTGAGATAGAATATTAAGTGTAATGTTTTTTGGCCTAAAAGATTAGATTATCAGAATTTAGAGACAGTAAGAAAAAGATTGTTTTGTCACAGCAGCAGCACAAACAATACTTTCACAGGTGTAAAATTGAAAAGCCTTTAATAAAAGGATATTTACAAGCTTTGTAAACATTTTGAACTACCTTAAAATCTTTGATGACCGAACTATTTTTATCGCATATACGGTAATCTAAAACCTGAACTCTTTTAGAAGAGAGTTAATGAACGGTGATATAGTTTTAAATCAATGTAGATCATTTGAACTACAGTTTTCTTTTTTCATCACAGTTAATCATAAAAAGTTTGAAAGTAGGTTCATTGTTTTGCCTTTGATAACGTTTCAAATTTCTTTCCAGGAGTCCCTTGAAACACAGCTTAGTAAGCCAGATATTCTTACTGCAGATCTCAGCAAGATGGAGGTATGTCGTAATTAAGCATCAAATCTGTTACCATAGTCAATCAGACAAATTAGGAAAAAAAAAATTGAAGGACTTGGTCTTGTTTTCCTTCGCTCTGATTGGCTGGTTGCAAGGGTTCTCTGACTGGTTGCAAGGGTGGTGGGAGTTTGACAGATCAGTCACAGATCGTTGTAAGTCTCTGAGAAACTGTGCACCCACCCCTCTGCTAACCCAAAATTAGCCTTAACTTGTTATGAGTTGACTATTGATGGGTTAAGGGAGGGCAGAGGTGCGCAGTTGCTCAGATCCCCAATCACAAAGCAAAGGAATGCATGACCAATGTTATCTTGGATTTCTTTGGACACTCAACTGAACATTATTGCTCCAAGTGTTAACTTAACTTTGCAATATTATGTTTTGAGAAATTTACCTATTTTTTTTATCTGGAGCTCTCCTTCAACCACCTTGGCGAATTTTTACCATGTTAGCTCTGTGGTTGAAGTGTTTATTCTATAAGGTGTCCTTCTCATCTACAGTTGCGAGCATGTAAACTCGCATTTTGCAGATGTAGCTTATAGCGTAGCATGCGGCGCGCGCAGTTAACTCCCATACCTAAACTACAAAAGTCGTTTAAATAATGTAATAATTAGGGCCCTCGCTGAGTATCCTCGATGCGAGGATGCTAGGTATCGTGATTCAATAGATGAATGGTCAGAGCGAATTACCCCAGTCTGTTACTCCAAAGCCATGTTTTTGTTGTTGTTTTCTTTTGTGTGTGTGTAGATTCCGTTACATCTACATCATGGGATACATGCCTTACATTTGTTTCAAGAACAAGAAGGAAGATTTCCCGAAGTTAGGTAATGTTCTAGGAAAGGATAATAAACCTGACATTAAGTCGACCGTACATTAACACGTACACGAGCCAAGTTTAAGAGCTGTTTTTTTGAAACGTTGGATAAATTGATGCAGACTTTCTTCATTTCTTTTTCAGTATTTTAACCTTGCAGATTGCAGTAATATGTAACATTGTGAAGAAAGGCTTCAATGATCAGCTTCTTCGTTCCTTATTTCTTTGATCTTTCAGGAGTAGCAGGGATGCAGAGAAATTATATGAGATAGCAAAAGTTTTGAACGAGAAAGCAGCTACCAAGGTTAGAAGTCTTGCGTGTTACAGTATTAGTTTCAAAATGGGTCATTAGTTTTAAAGCCGACCGTGAATCATACAAATGTTAGCGTTAACACTGTAAGTTGTTTTCAGGTGGACAATCTTGATGAAAAGCTACTCACACAGTTGGCATACACGTGTCGAGGCTGTTTTTCCCCTTTAACGGCTTCTCTGGGTGGAATTGTAGGCCAAGAAGTGTTGAAAGCTTTGACTGGAAAGTACACTCCTTTAAAGCAGTGGGTATGTAAGGATTTTATTCCAACTTTATTTTAACCCTTTAACCCCAAGGGCAGGTTATTTAAAGAAAGTTTGGCCGTTGTTTAACAAAACCGCGCCCTTAACAATCCTCAATTTAGCTGAATTTTTTATCTGAACATTTACTTCTGTGAAGGGTGTTAAGAGATCCGAAAGCTAACAGTGGAATTACCTTTAATTGAATCAACCCTCTCCTGAGGCCCACTGATTGCGTAAAACAGTGGTCTGGGTTAGACCTCGTTTAACGGCAGTAGGAGTGACCAGGATCTAATTTCTCCTAACGGTAATGCTGATTTCTTTCCTCTTTGCCCCAACCTCTGGTCAAGGGAACTCTTTGAGCACTCTTTTTTAAAAAAAAAAAAAAACAAAGTTGCCTTTTTCAAGGAAAGAAATGATCCTCGCAGGTGAGCTATAAGCAAAAATATCGTTTCCTTCTCTTGTACTTCCTCCGTGAATCAACATACAATACCGCTCTCGTGTACTGCAGCATTACACGCTCTTGACACGCGTGCAACTCCCACGCACTAAGGGCGCAAATCACGTACACTGCACGTAATGAAAAATGCACATAAATGAGTGTAAAATGCGTGTAAATTTTCATTGTGAAAGTTGCATTTTCTAACCATCCATCTCACCAAAACGTTTACATTGTTGATAATATCCTTAACTTTTTTTCACCTTTACACAGCTTTATATTGATGCCACAGAAATGTTAAAGGGACAGGAGAAATTAGACAAAACCTCGTTCCTCCCAAGGTCTGGCTGTCGTTTTTTTATAGGTTTTACATATTTATGTAAAGCAAAGGGGAGACGGTGCTTGATTACATTTCAATGCACTGTAGAACTCTTGGAAATTATCAGCTTGGCGGAGTGTGAACGAGTCAGGGATTCATTTTTAATACGTTATTTATGAGTTAAAGAATACTTGGTGGAAACGAATTTTACAGCGAGTTTAGTTCTTCACTGCTAAGTCCATTGTTTCATCTCGTGTCTACTTGTGTTTTCTCGTCCCGTCTCGTGTCTTTTCGTGTTTTCTTGCCTCGTCTCGCCTCGTCTTGTCTCGTCTGGCCTTGACTTGTCTCATAGAGTACCGAAGCCCTGACGTCACGTTTCCATGGTTGCATTTCTGCTGGATCTAAACAAACTCACATGTGTTTAACATGGCGGCGTTGTCGATAACATCGTTCGCAAAATACTTCTCAGATGAGCCTAAATCTTTAAACCGTGGCGAAAACCATTACCAATCTGGACACGTTCTATCTTTTTGCTATTGTGATGGAATTATCAGAGGGTCAGTGCAAGCGAGCATGAAAAGTACGACGTATAAAGTCACAGTAAGTGTAAAATTTCTATTACTCGATGTCTATCCGTTAACATCGCCAAACCAAAACTTATTTAAATTAAGTGATTTCGAATCTTCGTTTAAAGGAAATCTTGAAAAGTAAGCTTATATTTCTTTTTCTCTTTCCTTCGCAGATATATCTTCAAGAAAACGAAATACGTTCCACAGAATGCGAGTGCCCTCGTGGCGGTTCAAAGTGTAGTCACGCTGTAGCTCTGTTCCTTCATGGCTACCACAACTTAAGTAGAACTGACATCGAATGTCAGTGGAAGAAACAAAAGGCATCCGAGGTGGTTAAAACGGTAGAAGATCTGTATCCACCCAAAGAAACTAAAGTCCTAAAACGAAAAACTACAGATGAGGACAGAGAATGGCTACGGAANCTTTTCGTGTTTTCTTGCCTCGTCTCGCCTCGTCTTGTCTCGTCTGGCCTTGACTTGTCTCATTTTGTCTCTTCTTGCCTTTTTTCGTCTCGTCTCGTCTCGTCTCGTCTCGTCTCGTCTCGTCTCGTCTCGCCTCGTCTCGCCTCGTCTCGCCTCGCCTCGTCTCGCCTCGCCTCGTCTCGTCTCGTCTCGTCTCTTGTCATGTCGTCTTCAGTGTCTCGTCTGGCCTCGTTATGTCTTATCTTCTCGCCTCTTATCGTCTCGCCTCGTCTCGTCTCTTGTCATGTCGTCTTCAGTGTCTCGTCTTGCCTCGTTATGTTTTATCTTCTCGCCTCTTATCGTCTCGCCTCGTCTTGTCTCTTCTCGTCTTGTCTCTTGTCATGTCGTCTTCAGTGTCTCGTCTTGCCTCGTTATGTCTTATCTTCTCGCCTCTTATCATCTCGCCTCGTCTCGTTTCGTCTCGTCTCTTGTCATGTCGTCTTCAGTGTCTCGTCTTGTCTCGTTATGTCTCATCTTCTCGCCTCTTATCGTCTCATCTCGTCCATCTCACCTTCTCTCCTCTCGTCTCGTCTCCTGTTCTCGTCGCGTCTGTTGTTGTTTGTTTGTTTTTTCTCTTTCCTTGAATTTTGCTGTAATTTGTGTTGATATCGAAGAGAGCTCTTGTAAAAATCAAACCTTGTAACTTCAGTATCAATAGAGAAAAATAGTTTCAGATCAAGTTTATTGTTTTTTGATAGTGGTAACTAGGTGAAAGTGATCTAAACTTCTTATTCATCGAGTGTTATTGTACGTACCTGTGTACCTGAAACGTGGTAAACAATATCATCTAACACGATGTGTACACTAACGTTCTTTTTTTTAGGCAAGATCGTTATGATTCTCTTCGAATTTGTACTGGAGAGGAACTGCTGAATAAACTGTCTAATTTGAGACTCTTTATGGTGAGAAATTACAACGTCACAAGGCCACGCCTACCATATTTTGTTTTCCTCTGTAATTTGTTTTCCTTTTCACAGGTTGGATGTGGTGCTATAGGATGTGAACTGTTGAAGAACTTCGCTCTTTTAGGTATTGGCGGGAGTCGCAGTGGACTGGTATGCTTTTTTTTCATTCTGCGACTTGTCTCATTCCTGAATTAATTCCAAAATCTCCGATATGCGCTAAGGCGGCCTAATTTTTTTGTTTCAATACCCCGCAGATGACTATCACGGACAACGACCTCATTGAAAAGTCAAATTTAAATCGTCAATTCTTATTCCGACCTTATCACATCCAGGTAAGATGAGATGGAATTCTAGACCCCTTGGGGTTTTTTCTTCAGTTCTGATTGGCCATTGTGATAACTTTGGTTTTAGTTTTACGACACCCAGTCAATCGAAACGCATTCTTAAAGAGATGAAAATTCCTTAACACTTATCCTTAGAATCGTGAAATGTCCCGCACGCAGTTGACGGTATTTGGCACCTTTAGAGGCAGGATGCGATGTAAGAAAAAATAAGCCGCCTTATTGCTGGTTTTTTAGCACTTCTGATTATTCAGTCTTTGGTATAACTTTATTCCAATGATCGTGAACATAGTGACGGATGCCATGGTGGAAAATCAAACGTTGTTTGTGAAAAGATAATTCTTTCGGTGATAAGGATTGACATAAATCACAAATGCCGTTCAGAAAAATGTAGACGAGATCTGCTTTTTAAACGTGAAACCTCCTCCCCCCNTTTTTCTTCCTTGGGGTGAGATGGGTGGGTGTTATTGTTTCACAGGGCCCCATTTAAACTAGCAATTTGCTAAACTGGGCTACCCGTTATAAATATTCGTAAATACATACATGCCCCAAATTAAAGATAGTTTTCCGTTCTTCTGGACTTGAATAAGTAACTGGGTGAAGCAAGTGGCCAACCATGGTAACTCTTTGAAAACATTTTCTTGCACTTGGCAACAATATCGTGTCTTTTTTGTTGCAGTTTGTCCGGAAACGGAAGAAACGTTGTACACTGATCAGTTCTTTGAATCTCAGGACCTCGTTGTTAATGCATTGGACAATGTGGAGGCCAGGCGGTACATGGATTGGTGAGCTTCACTAATTCTTAACTTACTGTAGCTGAACAAGTTTGTGAAGAAAAATCTGACCGTATACCCTCCCTAGGGTTGTCAATAGATAATTAAAGAGATGAGGTAGTTCTTCGAGTTTGACACGCTTTCAGCTTTCAGCTAGGCTAGGGAACAGTTCAATGTGTAAAACGACATTTCTCTTTTGCTACAGTCGATGTGTCAGTACCCAACGAGCTCTTCTTGAGTCGGGAACAATGGGACCCAAAGGTCATGTACAGGTAAAGAATTTATTCAGCGTATGTTTTTCCATTTTTGCTCTTGATCGAGGACATTATTCATGAGAAAGGCCAAATGATTTCAGCAATAATCGTAATTTTATTTTCACCGTTTTATTGATTCCCAAACTACTTAATTTACAGTTAATTGTGACTGCGCTTTTGAACATTTGATACTGAAGTCTTGGTTATGTGACTACAAAAGTTCAAGTTCAAGGCACTTTGCTCGTCCGATGTGGAGTCAGACGTTTTTTCCGTGTTTAAGACGTAAACTTATTATCGCCACGCTCAATTCTGCTTCAGTTTGGGGATATTTTAGGTCCTCGACGAATACAATTTGCCTTCAATCTTCAATTGGGTAGTTTAAAGTTACTGAAAGTGGAATTTTTTATGATCCTCATGATCTCTGTTGACAAAACTGTCTTTTAATTTAGTTGTGAATGAAACTGATTCGATTGATGATATTTGTGGTCATGTTTTCATTCTACTTTTTTCGTAAAGTAGACGATATTTTCACCCGACAGTGTTACTGGTCGACACAAAGACACATCCATGCAACCTATTTAACAACCTACCTAACCCGTCAAGTGATCAACACGTTACTTCTCCTAATACTATCCTTACATTATCCAGCAAACTGGTGATAAGAGTACTAAAACTTATCAGGTAGAAGTCGTTTTCTTGTTCTAACAGCAAATTCTTGTATCTATTTTACAACGAAATGCGTGGAGAATGAACGATCAGATCGTGAGTGTAAAAGGGTTAACAAAGCGATCTTCTCAGGAGGTGGGTGCATATTTTTCAACAGGTGATAGTTCCTCATCTCACGGAGTCGTATGCCAGTCAGGTATGTCATTGCTTCTCCTTTCTTATTGGTCAGTCTCGGCGTAGGTTGTAAAGAATAACGTAAAAGTTTGCTAGGTTTTATTTCTCAGTGATTTCTTTTCCTTTCTCTTCAAAGCGAGATCCTCCAGAGGAGGAAGTTCCCCATTGTACACTCAAGTCATTCCCAGCAGTCATTGAACACACCATACAATGGGCCAGAGATAAGGTAAAGTTAACAGATTTCTTTGTAAGCGTGTAGGGATAGCGCATAGACAAGCGTGTGTGAGTGGTTTTTTTGCGGGGCGCTCCTATAAGTCGTTCCTTGCTGTTTGCGCATGCGTGCCTGCGATGCCGCTCTTCGCATATGATTGCGACGATTCTTTCGTAATTGTATCGCTGGTAGTTAATCCGAAATTGTCAGCATAGCTATTATTGTTTACTTTTTTGAAACTTCCAACTAAGGATTAATTTGGATAGTTTCAACTTTCCAAATTAATCCTAAATTGGACAGTTAAAAAAAATCAAAGAAAGATAACTTTACTGAGCAATGCCTAAGCACAACTGACTAGCTATATGAGTAATAAGTAAGAGTACCACATACTTGTGCAATTTTGGAAATAATTGGATCTAAAAAAATTCCTCTGATAGCCAAATTTTGGCTGTCCTCAGAATTTTTTTCATCCAATGTTTCCGATTATTACACATCAAAATAGTATCGCTTTTTGAGTTTAGAAATTTCCGTTAACTAAAATAACTTGGCATCGCAGCGATCGCATAGATACTTTTGTTCACACTAAGGTATTTTCTCTTTCGCAGCCGTTCTTTGGGAAATCACACAACGCTTCCTCCCCCACCCCACTCCCTCCCC